GAACCTGCCACCTTGGGCGTATGTGGCTGGCGCCTTAGCCACTTGAGCCACAGGCGCTGAGCCAAGATTGGAATGTATTTTGAGTGCTGAGGCTGTGTCTGGAGGTCTGAGTGGGAGAGTGCTGGGGAAAGATTAAATTTAACTTCAGTGTCCTAACCTGGTGCTGGGATAAGGACGGGTAGGGAAGGGCGTAGAACAATTTGCAAAGGGCTCAGAGTTCTTCCCTTTCAGGAATTCACTGTGATTGGCATGTGCCAAATGGATTCTTTAAGCCCTCTAAACACTTTAAATCCACTCTCATGTCCCTGTCCAATGTTGGGCGAGTCGTTTCAAATGAAGTATCAACTGAAGGCCTCTGTGCTCTTAAGATGAGATTTCCTAGGCATCTTTAGCAGGACCTAATAGGCAGTGGGGTAAAACTTCTTTACAAATCTCCCATCTGAAGAAGACCCAGGAGAACCCTGGTTTTTGAACACCTGCCCTTTGGCATGCTACTGTTCAGCTGGGACAACCCAGCTATGGAACTGTGATCATACCACAAGTACCCTGCCATAGCCCAGAGGCTGGGGTGTTTTGACTTGGTAGTGCTAGAAGGTGTGAGGCTCCTGGAATGATTAAGTGTTCCTATTAGTTTCCAACTTTCCATGGTTTAGGGCAAGGTGGTGGTAATAGGATGAAAGGAGGATAGTGGGGAGAGGAGGTGAGGATAAAGGGGAAACTCTTTAAATGACACTATTTATAAACATGCCTCCCCCTTCCCTTTTTTTCTTCTAACAATTCTTGAGTTGCAGTTGGGTCCCCTGCTTGTTGCCCAGCTCCCGGAGACACTCCCTTCAGCCTTGTGGAGTGGGTGTGTTGCTGGTTAGGAGCACAGGGCTGAGTACTTGTGTGTACATGCAGATTGCATGGGTGGGACCTTAGGGAAGAGGGGAGTGAGTGAGAATGCTGAACTTTAGGAGGAGGAAGGGGCAAGTGTTAAGGGCAGAAGAAGACTTACTACTTAGGATATAAGAGTGAGTTAAGTGCCTGGAGGATGTGCTGAGGTCAGGAGAGAGGGGGATGCAGTAATATCTAGGATTGAAGTTTGAAGTGCAAAGTGTGTGGAACTGTGCTTACTTGTATGCATATGCTTGTGCACATATCTGGCTGTGGATTTTAGAGATCACCTACATAGTATGTGTCTGTCCAGGATTGTGAACTCTGAGGGAATCAAGCCCTGGCTCCTCTAGAGAAGTGCCCTCCTTGGTGGGCCTGAGGAAGAAGTGCTAGCTGGAATCTGGCAGCTGTGCAGGCACAAACCTGTTAGGCAGCAAGAGCTTAGGGGGTGCTGGCATCAGCTGTAGGGGAGTGCCAAATGGCTACCTACTGGTTCCTGCCAGCCTTTCCAGACCCTGCAATACAGATACCATCCATCGTTCCTCACCTTCCCCCACCAAGACGTCACTCCAGCTGTACCTCTCTGCCAGCGAGAGCGCTCAGGAGGTGTGGGTGGCAACAGGGTGTGCAAACATCAGGCGTGGGCGGTCTGGCAGCTCCAGGAGTTTGCATGGAGGTGCAGTGAGCTGCGTGCCTGGCTAGGAAGGAGGGAGGGAAGAGGAGGGTGGAGAAGGGGAGCCAGCTCTTAGCCCCAGAGTGGCTATTTTTAGCCAGGCTATCTGATTGTTACTGGTGCGCACACTGCTGGGTGTCTCCCTAGCTCAGTGAAGCCCAGCAGGCTGAGAGGTGGGAGGTCCTTGCTGATGACTTCTTCCTGGTGTTGGTGTCTGTGGGCGGGAGCATGCAAGGGATAGCTTTACAGGTGTGAGGGCAGCTGTGTACTCAGGATTTATTACCTCTGTGTGTGACTTTGTGCTCTGTTGGTAATGTATGCTTTATATCTAATCATAATCTCTCTGGATGTGCTGCACTGTTTATGTGTCTGTCTTTTGCTGCTTGTTATAAATAATTTATGCTTGGGATATATCTAATATGCCTCACATGCACATGTGTATGGGATGAAAAGGACAAGTGTTCACAATATATCTAATATGAAACATCTTTAATGTTGGTGTGTGTCTGTGTTTATGCATGCTTTCTTTCTTTACATGTACATTTGTGTTATCTATCTATGGACGTTGTATATAAATATAACAAGTATCGCATTATTGGAGAATGGACTTGGCTAATTCTACCGGTTATCTAAGTGTTTTTTTTTTTTTTTTAAACTTATTCCTGGGTGGCACCTGTGGCTCAGTGAGTAGGGTGCCGGCCCCATATACTGAGGGTGGTAGGTTCAAACCTGGCCCTGGCCAAACTGCAACAACAACAACAACAAAAATAGCCGGGTGTTGTGGCGGGCACTTGTAGTCCCAGCTACTCGGGAGGCTGAGGCAAGAGAATCACCTAAGCCCAAAAGATGGAGGTTGCTGTGAGCTATGATGCCATAGCACTCTACCAAGGGCGATAAAGTGAGACTCTGTCTCTAAAAAAAAACAAAAACAAAAAAGAACTTATTCCTACAGAGTTTAAACATATTACGTTGTAGGGCTATAGTAAGGTGAATTGAGGAAATAGCTCCATTTGGTGTGAGATTTGATCTCTTTTTTGGTCCTACATGAAGGGAGAGGTCTCTCAGCCATGCTCCGTGTTAAGATGTAAGATAAGCAGTCATCCTTCATCTGGTAGATGATGATATATCTGCTTGAAGGTCTTCAGAACATCTGGTTGAGGGCCATCCCATAGGTCTCTTAGGGGAGTTATAATGGGAAGAAACTCTATTTCTCTTAAACAACTTGCCCCCAGTATTTTTTCTCCCCTTTGTCCTCTTCTCTGCAGAACCCAAAAGTACCATGGCTTCTGACTTAGAAAGTAGCCTCACCTCCATAGACTGGCTCCCCCAGCTGACTCTCCGAGCTACCATTGAGAAGCTTGGGAGCGCCTCCCAGGCTGGGCCTCCAGGGAGCAGCCGCAAGTGTTCACCAGGCTCACCCACAGATCCTAATGCCACCCTGAGCAAAGATGAGGCAGCAGTCCACCAGGATGGCAAACCACGGTACAGCTATGCCACCCTCATCACCTATGCCATCAACTCCTCTCCAGCCAAGAAGATGACCCTCAGTGAGATTTATCGCTGGATCTGCGATAACTTCCCCTATTACAAGAATGCTGGCATTGGTTGGAAGGTGGGACTGCTTTCTTAATCTGGGCTTATTTTTTAGCCTTTGGCAAGTTTTTCTCTACTTTTGTTTCTTCCTATAACTTGTCTACTTCATTCTGTCTGATCTCAGAGAGGTATAAACTTAAAATATCACATCCCTTACTTTTTTACAGAGCTGAACAACTTTTATAAGGTACATGTATATTAGGGAAACTCCAGGGATGCCAAGTCATTAAGTATAGTCATGAGGATGGCAGGATGCTGTTGCTCATCATACCCTCTTATCTTCTGATTCCTCAGAAAGAATATTCATTCATCTCACATATATTCATTGCCACTTTACTATGTTAAAATCACTGTGCATCAAGGCATGGCATTGCTCCCTCCTATCCAGAGGTGGGAAGCCCATCAGATTTCCACTGCACATAGTCTTCAGAAAAAAAATAATATGATTAGTTCCTTTAACATCAGCTGGTCCACTAAGCAAGTAATGAGAGGTTAAGTTGTTTAGCTAGAGAGGAAGGAAGAAGGGGCTCTTCTTCCAAGCAAAAAAAGAAGGCTAATATTGGCTCAGCGCTCATAGCTCAGTGGGTAGGGTGCTGGCCACAAACACCTAGGCAGGTGGGTTAGAATCCAGCCTGGGCCTACTAAACAACAATGACAGCTGCAACAACAAAAAAAATAACCCAGCATTTTGTGGCTGGGTGCCTGTAATCCCAGCTACTTGGGAGGCTGAGGCAAGAGAATCGCTTCAGCCCAAGAGTTTGAGTTTGAGGTTGCTGTGAGCTGTGACAGTACAGTACTCTACTGGGGTGACATAGTGAGACTCTGTCTCAAAAAAAAAAAGGCTGATATTCTCAATTCTTAGGAGCAGTAACTTGTTTACAAATTGTTAAGTAGGAATGGAGATTTAATGTAATTTTTCTCTCTTTAAACCACCAGTTGACATACAAACCATGTAATAAGCTGGAGACTATTGAAAGCATCCAGCTTTCCCTTTGGAAATAGGTCCCTACTAGCTACCCCAACCTCCAGCCACACTTAGCACCATATACAACATGTCTTTCCCCCAAATGTCACCATTCTATGGGCTATTGATAAAAATGAAGGTGGGCAGCACCCAAAGCTCAGTGGGTAGGCCGCATGCACCAGGGTTAGAGGACTCGAACCCAGCCCCGGCCTGCTAAAAACAAAAAAATAGCCGGTCATCATAGTGGACAGCTGTAGTCCCAGCTACTTGGGAGGCTGAGGCAAGAGAATTACTTAAGCCTAAGAGTTGGAGATTGCTGTGAGCTGTGATGCTACAGCACTCTACCAAGGGCAGCAAAGTGAGACTCTGTCTTAATAAAAAGAAAAAAAAATGAAGGTGATCTGTGCTTTTGTTTTACTTATAAATTATATTTAGTTATGATTTATATAAACAGTTTAAAAAACAGTGTTCTTTTGCTATCAATAGGGTGGATTGAGAAACTGGGCAGATGTGATTTTGAGGCATTTATATACCTGTTGTCATTTGGATGGAAAAGTTGAAAAACTACGTAATCAATTTTTTAGGAGTACCTGTTAGCCAAATTTATAGCCATTCCCTCCCATGTATGTAATTCTGCATTTTTCTTATCTCATTGCTCTTGCTATTTGATGCATAATTTCTTCCATCAGTATAGTTAGCTGCTAAATTTACCCTGATACTTGAACTTTACTTTGTATTATTTCCTTTTATGTTCCTCTGTGTTCTGCTGGGAAATTTTGTGCTCTGCACTATGCTCAGATCTAACTTGCTTCTCTGCATCCCTAGAATTCCATTCGGCACAACCTTTCTCTCAACAAGTGTTTCCGGAAGGTACCCAGACCTCGGGATGACCCTGGAAAGGTGAGATACTGCTTTAGGCCTTGGAGGGAGGAACAGGAAGGAGAGTGAAGCAGTTGACAGGCCCATAGTCCTGTGGCTGTTTTAATTACCCAGAAGAGGAAACTATGTTGATTAGAGAATCATCTTTATTTTATTTCAGAGGAAGGTCTTGGTTGTCAAGGTTGTGGGCCCTCAGTAAAATGGGTGACTAGGAAAGATTGTTAAAAATATTTTTTTAATAGAAATATTTAGGGTAAAGTTGACTTTGATACTCCCTTTCTTTTGTGTGGCACCGTTTTCCCCCAGTTATAAAAGGTGGACTTATTAACTCTTGTGGAAACATTTCTAAACAAAAATCCCTTCATAAGGGGGAAGGGATGGGTCTTTCTCTCCATTTGACAGATGTAGATGCTGAAGTTCAAGGGAGGTTTGCTTTAGGTAACAAAGGAAGGGAAAGGCTATATCTGGACATTTCTAGCTCTTTGAGCTAGATGCCATTGTACCACCCCTCCAGAACAATCAATTCCTGTGTTTGGACTACAGGAGGACCTCTGGTAGACTCAGTGAACTTCTAGGACCAATTTCCTCTTTGCTCTTCAGTAATACCTAGAAATTTTAGGATTATGTGTGAATGTCTAGTCATGTTGATAGAGACTATTATAGTATGTGAAAATCTTCCTAAGTATATGATTTGTGAAGGTTGGGATTTCTTTTTTTGTTTTAGGATATAAAAGCATAACTTTATTTTATAATATTAGAGAAAGGGAAGAGAATAGGGGGAAGAGATGAGTAAGAGAGAAAAGAGAGCAGAGAGCAGGGAGTAAGAGAGGGGAGGGCTGGGGACGGAGAGAAAAAGAGTGAGAGAATGTGTGGCATCTCAAAGAAAGAAAGGAAGAATGCCCACCAAGGTGGGAATTTCTAATCTACATGCAATGATTTTTGTTTTTTGTGGGGCTGGGTTCTCTTTCCAGGGTTCCTATTGGACAATCGACACCTGCCCTGACATTTCCCGAAAGAGAAGACACCCTCCAGATGATGATGTAAGTTCCACCTCACAGGGAGATGACACTTCTTTTTTTTTTTTTTGAGACAGAATCTCACTTTGTCACCCTTGGTAGAGTGCTGTGGTGTCGCAGCTCACAGCAACCTGAAACTCTTGGGCTTAAGTGATTCTCTTCCCTCAGCCTTCTGAGTAGCTGGGACTACAGGCACCAGCCACAACACTTGGATATTTTTAGAGATGAGGTCTCGCTCTGGCTCAGAGCTGATCTCAAATTCGTGAGCTCAGGTGATCCACCCACCTTGGCCTCCCAGAGTGCTAGGATTACAGCCACTGTGCCCGGCCTGGAGATGCCACTTCTCAGCCAGCTGCTCCCTAGCCTTCTTTTCTGCAGGTTCCGTCCTTTTCCAAGGCCCAGGGGAAATACCAGCGGAGGCAAGGCCATGGATCTTGGAAGGATGTTTTGCCTCTGCATATAGAGTTCTTTTTCCTTATACCCTCAGATATCCCAAGATTCACCAGAACAGGAGGCAAGCAAGAGCCCACGGGGAGGCGTTCCCGGGAGTGGAGAAGCGTCGCTGCCTCCTGAGGGGAATCCACAGATATCGCTTCAGAGCCCCACATCTATTGCCAGCTATAGCCAGGTAGGAAATAGAGGTGGCAGGGGGCAAAGGATGAATGTTGAATAGATTCAGAGATCTCCCTGTTCAGAATTATGCATTGTATATCTGTAATTTATTAGGCAGATGAATTGGGAAAGAAGTGGAAGGCAAAAGAGGGAAACAGAGAGGGAGAAGGAAAGGAAGAGAAAGAAATAACAGAACTTTGAGAAAGATCAGAAAAATAATGGTGAGAAAAGAAGAAGAAACTCCAGTGAGAAGGGAAAGAGGGCATGGATGTAAGTAACCTGGAAAAGTGCCATTTAAAGAAATGAGAATGATGAGAGAAAGAGGCTAAATTCAAAATAAGAACCAATGAGAAAGGGAGAAAATGATGCTGGGCCATTGAAAAGCTAAGAGAGGATTAAGAGGAGAGGCAGAGGAGGCTGGTGACATCGAAGGGCTGTATTGGCCTATTAGCTGGGACATGGGTCAGGACTTTCTTGTTCTTGTAGGGCACAGGACCTGTGGATGGTGGAGCAGTGGCAGCAGGAGGTTCAGGGCGAGAAAGTGCTGAGGGTCCCCCTCCCCTCTATAACACCAACCATGACTTCAAGTTCTCCTACTCAGAGATCAACTTTCAGGATCTAAGCTGGTCTTTCCGGAACCTCTACAAATCTATGCTGGAGAAATCCTCTTCCTCTTCTCAGCATGGTGAGTCTGGAGTTGGGGTGGGTATATAGACATCCTTTTATTTTTGACAAATGGTGACATTCTCCTCTCTCCCTTATTTCTTATTTTTAACACAAGGAGAAATTAATCACTGGTCTGAAGAAACATTTCATGTACTAAAAACTGTTTCAAATTGAGTAAGCACATCTACCCTTGTGAAAGGACAGCTATTTTAGCCGGTGGGTTCAGTTATTAGCTTCAGAAAGTGAGTTGGAGGATTGCCCCTTCAGAACTAAGGGTAGAGGGAGGCGCCTATGGTTCAGGGAGTAGAACTAAGGGCAGTGATTTTATGACAGCAAGCAAGTCATTTAGCAGATGAGCTCTAGGGGGCAGCAGTAGTACCCTCTCCCCAAGAATCCCTCTGTTACATTGTGAGAAGAGTTTATTTTTTAGTGTATTTATATTTATGTTACTTTATATTATGAAAAATTTCAAACAAATGCAAAAGTAGAATTGTATCGTAAACCCCTATGTTCTATCACTCAACTTTAATGGTTACCAATATTTGTTAAGCTTAATTCACCACTCAGCATTTTTAAAATTGGAATAATTTAATGTAATTCATGGACATCATGTCATTCCACACATAAATACAATTTCAGTATGCATTTCTTTTCTTTTTTTTGAGACAGAGCCTTAAGCTGTCGCCCTGGGTAGAGTACCACACCATGGCATCACAGCTCACAGCAACCTCCAACTCCTGGGCTTAAATGATTCTCTTGCCTCAGGCTCCCAAGTAGCTGGGACTACAGGTATTCGCCACAATGCCCGGCTATGTTTTGGTTGTAGTTGTTATTGTTGTTTGGCAGGCCCAGGCTGGATTCAAACCTGCCAGCTCTGGTGCCTTAGCTGCTTGAGCTACAGGCGCAGAGCCTTCAGTATGCATTTCTAAATGAGGAAGACTTTTCTTTTCTAGATACAGGGTCTTATTCTGCCACCTAGGCTGGAGTGTAATGGCAAAATCATAGTTCACTTTAATCTCAAAAGCCTGTGGTCAAGCAGTCCTGCCATATCCTCCCAAGTAGCTAGGACTACAGGGTGTACCACCATACCTGCTAATTTTTTGAATTTTTGTAGAGACAGAGTCTCACTGTGTTGCCCAGGCTGGTCCCAACAATCCTTCTGCTCCCAAAGTTCTGGGATTATAGGCATGAGCCACCAGCTTGTCCAGACTTGACTCTTAGTTATTTGCCATACTATTATCACTCCTAACACAATAATGCTTACTTAATGTCAGCTAATGTCTTGTCCATATGCAAATTTCCCTAATTATCATGTGAGAATGATTTAAAGTTTTGTTGGGAAGCCCTGGAGAGATCATCTGGTTCAGCCCTCTGTAATTTCTGTGTTTTGTTTTTGTTTTAAAAAGAAATTAGAGGGCAGAACCTGTGGCTTAGTGAGTAGGGCGCTGGCCATGCCATATACCAAGGGTGGCGAGTTCAAACCCAGCCCTGGCCAAATTGCAACAAAAAATAGCTGGGCATTGTGGCAGGCACCTGTGGTCCTAGCTACTTGATAGACTGAGACAAGAAATCGCCTAAGCCCAAGAAAGTGAGACTCTGTCTCTTAAAAAAAAAAGAAATTAGAGATAGTGATGAGGCTAAGATTTCAGGTAAGCCATTGAACCTTCTTGTTCTGTGCAGTGGCCCTATCTTGGCAGCGGGGGCTAAATGGCATGATAAAAAGTGGTTGGAAGTCACTTTGGGTCAGATGCAGTGGCTCATGTCTATAATTCTAACACTCTGGGAGGCTGAGGTGGGTGGATAGCTTGAACTCAGGAACTCAAGACCAGCCTGAGCAAAAGCAAAACTCCATCTCTACTAAAAATAGAAAAACTGAGGCAAGAGGATCACTTGAGCCCAAGAGTTGGAGGTTGCTGTAAGCTATGGTGCCATGGCATACCACCCAGGGTGACAGCTTGAGATTCTGTCTCAAAAAAAAAAAAAAGTGACTTTGGTGAAAATGTATATTAATTTATGTTAATATTAATTAATATGATATTTATCTTAATATTGATTATATTATATTGTCACGAATTTCTTCTTTTGTATCCAGAATGTCAATACGTAGTATCTAGAGTTGTGTTCCATGATCGTAACATTTGCTTGAGAATGAATTCAACTCAGGAGGTTAGTTGACTGGAGGTGAGAACATGGAGAGACTATCAGAAATAAAGTAAAAAATTAGATTAAGCAAAGATAGCCAAATGTTTATTTTATTTTATATTTTAATTTTTTGAGACAGAGTGTCACTTTCACCCTGGGGTTGAGTGTCCTGGCATCATAGCTCATAGCAACCTCAAACACTTGGGCTCAAGAGATGCTCTTGCTGGCTTGGCGCCTATAGCTCAAGTGGCTAGGGTGCCAGCCACATACACCAGAGCTGGTGGGTTCAAATC